CCGCGGTCTGTAGTGATGGTTGAAAGGCAGCCGAATACTGTACTGAGACAGTATGTTTGGGATCGTGATATAGATAGTTACAACCGGACGAACTGATGGACACATGTTTGTAAAAACGGGCACGGAAATATGTGCTAAAAGTAGAGGAGCGATAAAGGTGTACGTAATTATGTAACAAATATTAAGAATCAGTGGATGAAAGTAGTGAAAACTAATGGGAAAACCATTTCAGTTGAGATAAAATCAATCCCAAGAGATCCTCTTAGCTAAAGAAGTGTGGACAGCCACTAACCTCTTCTGAGACATGTCTGATAACAAATTAGATTTTCTCTAGGACCCCCTACCAGAGAGTTGTGGACAGTCCCAGTCCCATACACCTACTCTTGTACCAAGGCACCATTCCATAAACTGACCATCTGTCCACTTTTCCCAACCAGTCCCACAGTCGGGAAGCAATGCAAAATATGAGAATCATTGAGACGACATTCGTAGTAAATGTCTGAGCCACCAAAGTTGGTGTTTCAAGGTGACACACTGAATAGTCATTATGCCCAAGCACACTTCACGAAACATCGGCGCTACTAAGACGGTGTTGTCGCTGAATATTAGCAATATTTCAGAGTCAACCACGATCGAACACAGTTGCCTTACATCCACAACCCGGAGAGGCCACGGGCATAGAATAAAACTGCTTTACCGACGCACTATAAACTACACTTTTTACAGCCAAACTAGAATTATAACGATCCAAAGATGAACAGGGTTGACATAAGGCGCTAAAGCTTCTTCAAAATGTAAAATGATTCTACCAGTCACTTTTCGAATACCAGGAGTGAGTGCATGTTCAGGGCTTCGTAAAAGCACTTTGAATTTGTAGAGGGAAACATTAGCCATTTCTACGGACACTGATTAAGGTCGGTTTGCATGATGGGGACACTACCTAATAGTAAGGCGGTATCATCCGGATACACCGATCGACCCTCGGGTAACATCCACGCTACCGCCAACCTCCATATGTCAAGGCCGTCTTCAGAATGACGTCAATAGGAGAGTTGGGGAGGAATGGTTAGACTGGGCAATCCCGCCTGACCTCACGGCTTGGATGCAACAATGGAGAGAGGGGCTCGTATGCCCTATTTCTGCCTCGTGTGTTTGTATGTGGAACCTTTAATATTTTAAGAAGCTTACCAAGTACACGCTTCAGCAGATAATCCTAGAGCACAGTACTGTCCAACGGATTGAAGGCGGTCCTGAGATCAAGAAACCAACGATTGTTGGCCCGCAATAAGTATAGAGGCCTCCTAACATTTGATGGAAAGTGAAAACATGAACAGTACATCCCCGAGCAGAACGAAAACCAGCCTGCTTCTTGAGAGTAAATTCTTTATAAACTTCGGAATATGACGGAAGCCCAAACAACTCAGTCAAATTCCTTGGTTGAAGGTGTGTCGACATCCTGAAAACGATATGCGGGTAAGTCGTCAGAGCCCGGTGCTTTACGGTGCTTCGAGAGTGAGTTTCTTGCAGATTTCTGCCTCGTTAGGTGGGTGTCATCACCGGCCATCGAAGACGATACAGTCTAACCGATGTCACTAGGACAGAAGACTAACCGGATCGTTCCTTGAAAGACTCCTGATTGTAGGTGTTATTGATTGTCGTCCAATCTGCTTCACAGGTCTTTTCACTCACACCAGACTTCTTGTTGCCTGTGACTCGGATGACTTATAATATGTCATTGCTGCTTCCAACCCTTCAGCATGCTCTGACTACCAGGCTTTTTGGTCCTCTAGCAAACTTGACACAATTTTTCTACATAAGAATTTACGTTTACTGTCAAACTCGCAGCTGGTCGGAGCAGACCTACGTGCTTCATGAAAATATAAGGAGGTTGTAGAAATCCCAGTATTTATAGGCGGACGTTTCGTGAAGCCACCAGTGGCTGTACTCCCCATTTTCATGGCGTCATCCAAATGTAGCTAGTGCTGATCTGCACTTTTCGATGGGTATGATAACTTACCTCAAACATTTGCTCGCTTTGATATTTATTTGCAACGAGAGCTGCAACCAATTTACTTACGCCAATCTGTTTATGATGATGGATTTGTCGGCCACTGGAAAGCAGTGTATGATTAGCTCAATTAGAGTTTATATAAGTCTTGTACACAACCACCCCAGCTGTAGCTGACTGCGATATGATCAACCTGAGTCCTGGCTTGAGTTGCAAGAGTGAAGGATATGATTAAGTAAAGACGAAGGGTAAGATGCATATGCACCACTAACTTGTTTTTAGCCATATTTCAGTCTATCTAGGCTATTTTGAAGGCCCTTGTCATAAAGAATGCATATATAACTACTGAATAACCATGTCTTCAGATTTAGACTATCTAATCCTATAGTAAGCAACAACCGAGAAAGAGATTCGACGCAGAACCTGATAAGTGTGTACATTGGTTCGAGTCAGTCAGTAACAACGTAGAACTTCGTACGTACGTACATCAGTTCGAGTTGCCACACCACATTAGCACAGAGATGCAGTTGTCGATTCAAATCCCGTAGTGGTAGAGGTAATAAGAGTATAAGCAGTAATCGGGAAGATTAGGGTTTGGAGATGTTATTTAAAGAGTATAATACAGTGAAATAAATTTGGAAAGAGGAAAAAAGGGACATGAAGAATTCAGAAGATTAGAATTTGGGAGAGCACAGAGAGTGGATGCACCTGCGCCATTGCAAACGACTTTGAGCCACGTCATTCAGGGTCTCTAACCATCGGTTGCTATCATCTCGCGGTCCCCAACCAGGTAGTCTACACCTACCAACATGACTCAGTTCACTTGTCAGTGACTTCATGGACTTGTGCCATGTTTTGGTTTGGCCGCCCCTAGCTTTCTTCCAACCTACTCCTATACCACTGAACATAGCACGTCGAGGCAGTCGGTCGTTGGGCATACTTAACACGTGTCCCAGCCATCTCAACTGATAAAGTTTCACTACATCATCAATTGATTTGCTATCCTTACCTAGTACCCGTTTCCTAACAACTGTGTTACTTACTCGATGGTCCCATGATATACGAGCAATGTTTCGAAGACACCTATGATCAAATACTAGTAGCCTACGGATATCCTCTACTCTTACCGTATATGTTTCACTGCCATAAAGTAGGACGGAACGAACTGCTGCACAGTAAACACGTCCTTTGGTTGATAGACGGATATCTCGCCTACGCCATAAATGACGCAAGTTGGCAAAAGCTAGTCGAGCCTTCTGTATCCGTGCTGAGCTTTCGTCACACACTAAACCACAAGGGCTGATGAGACTTCCAAGATAAGTGAAGCGGTCGACACACTCAACTACTTTACTCCCTATCACTAGTTCGGGTGTCGATGTAGCATAAGGAGGTGTAATCATCAGGATAAATCCCAGAATAGAAGAGATAACAATGAGTGGTTGCAGAGAAGACTAGTGATCAGAGAAACGACCCAAGAAAGTATGAATTAGTAAAATAAAGACAAAGAGTTATGAAGAACTCAGAAGCCCATAATTTGGGGAAAACAAAAGAAGCTGCACATGGACCATCGTGAACGAGTTTGATCCATGTTATTCATCTATCAATGTGGCTGAGTCCCATTTTCAATGTCTCCATGGTCCGATGTCATGTTTTGTTTGGTCGCCCATAACTTTCTTCCAGCCTACTCCTACAACACTCGCCGAGTTAAGCGAGCACAGACTAGAATTACAGTTAATTAACACAATGTGAAGCAGTCAACAAGTGGGATCAATTTTACACACTAGATGTCCTCCTATACTTAGTGTGGTCGAATGTCTTTTCTCGTCAATCCCACTTGACCCATCAAAAGGCTTATCCTGGCGATTAACGAGGCCAGGAAAAGTCATTTATTGCACTAAGCTCACAATAACCCCACACCAAGATTAATTTCACGGGTGCTTTTTCGAGATTATGACTGATAGACTTCTTGCGTTATTTCTGAAGCTTATCATTTGGTGATGCTCTAGTAATATGCGGCATCTTTTACTGTTTTTCATATTTACCAGGTAGTAGCCGTTCGATAAACGTGTATTTCTATCCCTGTAGTACTCAACTGTCTTACTGAACTAGTTCTTCCTGTGTTATAGCTGTTGGTGGATTTTCTCAACAAAACTCATTTGTAAAGAAATAAAACACCAAGCGCTTTGGTGAATGTAAAAGGATTACCATTAGAAAGACATTCTGCCAAAATAAATTTAACTTGAATGGCCGAATCGGCTTCGTCTACCCTGTCTACAATAACTTGGTTATTGGTGGTTTAGCATTAAAAGCGGTAATTGGTGTACTCATATAGAATTGGCGTATAACGGCTAAACGTTTTGCTATTTCACCCAATAACAGGATCCAAACACTAACGCCCTTGCTTTGGTTAGATTTATGAAGGAAACCAATTACATGAAGGGGTGCAATGTTTTTCAAGTCCTAAACAATAGTAGCGTTCAACCCATTAACGCAACGTCTTACCGTTAAATATACACTTACTAATTAATATTTAATAAACATATACTTTATGCAAAAATATGACCCTTCTAGTATCGGGTATTTCGGTGAGACTCGATAACTGTTTGTTCGGTACATTTATAGAAGGGTGATAAGATAGATCACAGGCCTACTTACATATAAACGGTACATAGTAAATATTTTAGATCTTTGTTCTTGCTGTCTTCAATATTCTAAACAACAGAAAAAATATATTTGTCAAAATCAATCCAGTAGCTACTGTACTAATGTGCCAAGTTTGGCACCGACCTAAAGCATCAGAAGTTTCTTGCACAAAATTATTACCCAACAGTAAAACCTATATATCTACAATCATCTATCTTAGGCATCAAAAAATCAGAAAAGCATTTGAATTATTAAATTACCTATTAAGTGAAAATATTTAGGAAGTTACAACACTAAAATTAAATGCAAATTTCAAAGATAAGCTTCGATATATCAGAAAATGTGAAAATCAAGACAAAGTTTCTGGGTCCTCGGTCAGGAGCACTGATAACTCATTTACATTAGAAGGAATGTTCTCTCCTCTTTTTCTGACCAATGATTGCCTAACTGCATCTTCGATCTGTCCCAGACGTTTACGAACACGAAGAGCAGAAAGGCGTACAGACCAATCATCATGCCAACATTCTTGTATCACCTGTGCATAGCAGGATAGATAGGTGTCATCTAACCAACGCTGGTAGATGCGAGGCCTACAATGAACATTGTCGTAATCTGGACTTGTCTTGGGGGATTTAGTGTTTATACTTGAGCTATTCCTGTTCAATTGGTTTGTTTGATCATCACTTATGGTCAAACTATTGCCACAAACAATATCCCTCATCTGTGAGAAGGTTGGATCAGGAGGGACCATGTCGTAGAATGGTATCTGTAGAAAAGTTTCAAATTTGAAACAAAGATTATAAGGAATCATAAAAAATTACTAATAAACGTTGCTGAGTTGTTGGCAATTACTTAATGTCATAACACAAAGAGTTTACTATCCTTGGAGCTTAACAATTTTATGCACCATAAGCGACTAGTTCATTAAAAATTTAGAAATCATATTAAGCCGTTCAGACATAAAAAATGTCTGTCAACATGTGCAAACATAACGAAGTACAGGATGGCTTTGAATAAAGCCATTAACAATAATAATAAAGTGTCATGGTATGAAAGGAAGTTGTAGCGGACTGGCTTCTGTCGGTCCTTCACGACTCCCTGGTTGGGGTCCTAGAGATAGTGCAACACAGTGATGTACCCTTAACTTTGAATCACCGTAGAGCATTACGTAACAAAAATGTAAAATTTCGTGGATTTTCACTAGTATACGAGCCTTAATAAATCATATGACTGGATTAAAAAATAATTAATTATTGTGCTTTGCCCTTGAGATTTCACAAATATACATTAACTACGGGGATATTCATAGAAAAAGATCTGATGACATCAATAATAACAGTCAAAACAAGAACTTAGAAATAATAAAATTCATCAGTTTAGGGATTATATCAAAATGCTCAAACTGATGTTACAGAATGCACTGGTGCGGCTAAGGGTGGGGGAGCCAGCTCTCTTCGAAATGCTCTCTTATGGCTGCGCGTATACAACCACTGCCAGGGAAGTCCTCACTGCGTTTTCGCGGTGGGGGTGTTGTTTACGAAATTGAGAGGACGAGAACGAATGTCCGGCACTTTAACCGGGGTGGTGGGTGCAGAGGATCCATCTAGAGGAGTTGGAAAACCCTGATGCCAAACCACACAGGATCCTGAGGGAACAAATGGCGTATGAACCACTCGTCGGTCATCGATTACAATGGGACTGTATCTACTGACGCTACTTCAGTGCCTCGTGGATCAAACCTTTGGTCAAAGACTCCGGGTGTGGCCTCCTAAGAAAACCACCTACTTCGGTTTGGGCATCCGAGCAGTGTCACATCTCACATAAATCAAGTGACTTGTGTGGCGCATATGTATTCGGTACCCCTTTGCACCAATATTTGTGTTTAAATAAATAAATAATTTAAATAAAAAAGATCTGCGAAAATTTGAGTCACACGAAACCGAATAAATCAATATGATCCCTTTTGATAAAACATAGTTTGTTGATTATTTGAAAAGCAGATTTTCCTCTCAAATTCTAAGAAACTATTACCCTTCAATATATTTGGTGCTTTAGAACTTTTTGCACACGAGTAAAAATATTGAACTATAGAACACTTTACTCTATCAATAATTACGATCTGAAATTCATATACTTACGACAGCACTAATTTATAATACATGATTTTCATATTAGTAAGATAAACAGAAAAATGCCTTTAATAATAGTGAATATCAAAGTATGGAAAAGTCCATGTACAAACCTGATATCCTTCAACAAAATCAGATGTTATTCCCTGAGTGCATCGTGCTAATTCCCAAAACACTAGGGCCATCGCATAAATATCTGCAGCTTGGTAAACTTCAAATGGCAAATGGTGACTTCTGTTTGGACTATCAATACTTTCATTAGTTATACATGACGTATTGTTGCCGCAGTTAGATGATGTGTGTGCTATATCAATCGCCATAAGTAACTCAGGTGCCATGTAACGTTTAGTACCAACCCTAGGTCCGGCAGGAGGAGGACCTAAAGAAGAAGGACCAGAAAGTCCACTGCACAATCTGTCTGACTGAGTTATACCGCTAGACATAACACCACTAGATAGCATTGAAGAAGATAAATTGAGGAAGGCTTGTCCGACTGGGAGACTTTGTAAATTCACAAGGGCAAGACCCAAGTCAGCTATACATGCAGTCATATCACTCATAACAAGAACATTCTTCGATTTGAGATCACGGTGTGCAATAGAAGGCTTAGCATGTAATCCTTTTATTTCTGTATGCAAAAACGCCAAGCCTGCTGCAATGGAGCTGGCCAGACGCAAACCATCCTGTAGTTTTAATGATCTGTGACTGATGAAGTCATGTAAAGATCCGTTAGCGTGATAAGCTGTAATTAACCAGAGCTGAGTGCATCCACCTCTTGATATCATGTCGCTAGCATAATACGCCAGGATATTAGGATGACGCAATAAACCAGTGTTGTAAACTTCTGTTTCACGAGCCCAGCTGGCTTCATCACGACTAGAAAAAATCTTAACAGCAACAGTTTCACCTTGACATGTAGCTTTCCAAACTTCACCAAATCGTCCTTTCCCTATACACATTGTCAATCTAATATGACGTGCTACAGTTCTCTGAACAAGGAACGGAAGACCGCTCCCACTTCCACTAGTACAGCTAATAAGTTTACACGAAGGATCAGGATTATGCAAATTTTTTGAAGAAAGATTATTTCCCATTCCGGGTGAGACATAAGATGATAATTTACGATTCGAAAACTGTTCTTCATTGAGTTTTACTAGATAATTGTAGACATCTGTAGTGAAGCTGGGACGTTTGTAGCTAAGTTCATTGACATAGCGATCGTAGTTTTCTATTCGTTTTTTTAAAAAGCACTTCCAAAAAAGCATGATCGCTAGAAGCCCACAAAACAGTGCAAAGGTAGGGAACAACACTGCTGTCAAAATAGATTTCCATGTAAAGGCATGAGCATTCATTCGCATAGGACTGATTAATTCTAGTAAACTCGAGTTCTGATTGCATAAATCCCCATCATCTGGAGAACAACAATATAATAATTGTCTACCAACTTTTGAATTTCGGCAGAGTAAGTCAACCTGATTTGTATTATTTGAAAAACACCCATACGACTCATCATCCACATATGTTAGTGATAAATCCAAATGCAATGAATGAAAACATCCTGTTGACGATACACAAACAGACCTGGAATATGGGCAACGGCTAAGAGGTGAACAATGGCAAGAGACAAGTAAAGGTCGGTTTCGTGTACTCTTATTCATTACAACTACAACCTTTCATATAGTGAAGATTCAGTTGAAAGCATGGGAGACTGAAAAGAAAATCAGATAAGAACAATAAAGATTAATTTGTGAGTAAACACCATGTTTGAATCATTAACAGAACATAGTAAATAATATACAGTTTTTATAAGTTAGTTTGTAAATATTCACATTTAGGTTAGATTTAATGGTTTCTAGAACTGTTTAGACTAGAAAAATAATATCCATTATTTTCAGGTTTGTAGTTTTGAATCCGTAAAAAGACAATCTAATTTTGATTATTTAGCAACTTGGAAATAGAAACCTCAACATGATGCAAGCTATGCTATCAATCGCATATTTATTGGAACCTTATTAGAATATATTCAATAAATACATTGATTTTTACCCAACCATTTTGTTGACTTCTGTAATAAATGTTTGGTTTTTAGATTTAACCTAGAAATGAAAATAGGCTCGTCTACTAGAATTTCGATAGAATGTTTTAAGTGGCGGCTACTGGTAATATTTGGTTGTCCCGAAATTAAGAAGTTAGGAACTACTAGTTAAAATTGGATCGCTTTGAATACACAACCACTGCTTTTATAAATAATTCGAGGACTCGTTTTACAATCAGTGGGTTCGTTTCGAGTACCGCTTCATTGGATCACGAGGAAAATATGTAAATTACTAAGAAAACCTTACCGATGCATAATGTTTGCTTACTGGTTAAAGATATTCAGTACTGTAAGCCAAAAGTCAAAGAACCCTCAAATACTAGATCAAATATTCACATCGCAATCTGGTCACTTCGGATTTAACAGTTCAGTAGTACCCTTAATCCTGCATGAAGGTCAGCAACATACTAAATGGGTGATTGATGCATTGATTCAAGATATCACAACACAAATTACGTGAAAATAAAGGCACAATAGGAGTAAAAATGAAGGTAGGAAATCAAGATAAACAGGTACGAAACAGAAAAGATGTTCGAAATGTACGAGTTAATGACCGCAACCTGCTTAAGGGAATGTCAGGTAATGAGTAGATTTGTCGTCTGATTTAGTTATGATTTATAGATTAATATGAAATATCCCAGTAACACAAAGTATACTGAATAATTTGTCCCAGAAATCCGTTTAATCGTAGTCACGAGATATTACCAGTTTTCTTAAGCATACACCAGCGATATTTGCAAACTATTCATTTGCTTAAATCTGAAAGATAGTCGTAAGCTACTAGTATTTGACCACAGATGCCTTAGAAATATTACTTGCATCTGTTGGGATCACCGGGTAAGTAATAGTGAGGTTAGACGTAGGGTATTAGGGAATGATGGTAAATCAGTTGATGAGATTGTGAATCTTCGTCGACGGAGATAGTTGGGCCACGTGTTACGTATGCCCGAACACCGATTACCACGACGTGCAATGCTAACCGGTGTTCTGGGTGGTTGGAAGAAAGTTAGGGGCGGCCAAACCAAAAAGTGGCATCAGTCCATGAAGTCACTAACTTTCAGTCTGAGCCATGTTGGTAGATGCAGACTACTTGGTTGGGGTCCACGTGACTATCGTAACCACTGGTTGGAGACTCTTGGTGACATGGCTCAGAATCGATCACAATGGCGTAGGTGTATATACTCTCTGTCTTCCCTTAAACCGTGAGATTAAAATTGCTTTATACCTTTCTTTCTACGAACTAATTCTTTCTCCCTGTATCAGATCCTTATATGAAATGCTTTTTCATATACTACCATTAAAGTAACTGCTTCTATGCGTTTGGTGATCATCTTGTTGTGCTAATGAGGTATGGCAACTTCGACCGATGCATATATGTGCTTGGTCCTACGTTGTAGCTGACTGACTGACTTATCACAGCTAGCATACCTTTCATTGCACTACCAACTTGTACTTTTTATTCATTATGTTTACTGACGTAATTCATTCCACTGTTATCACTAACTTATAAACTCCCTTTATTGGCTTAGTTCTACTCTTAATGGTCACGTTTCGCAGCCGTAAAGAAGAACAGAACGAACTGCTGCGCAGTATACTCGTCCATTAATTGATAGACGGATATCTCGTCTTCGTTATACGTGACGTAAGTTGGCAAAAGCCAAGCGGGCTTTTCGAATCCGTACTGAGGTTTCGTCAGACACCAACTCATTAGGGCTGGTCAAACTTCCTAGATAAGTGAAGTTGTCAACGCGTTCGACTACTTCACTCCCTATCCTTAGTTCAGGTGTTGACGCACGCCAGTCGTGAAGCAAAAACTTGCATTTAGAGGGGAAAAAACCCATCCCAAACATCCTGGCATTGTTGCTCAGTGCTATCAAAAGACTGAATTTTATCAGCGTCTTCACTAAACAGGACTATGTCATCTGCGTATGCTAAGTTCATAAGTGGACCTCCTGGTAGGAGATCAATGAACGAAAATCCAGTCGACGAGAGCGTTATTTCTATCAGTAGGTCTATTACGAAGTTAAACAAAAATGGAGAAAGTGGACAGCATTGACGGACACCACTTGAGGTTGCAAAAGCAGATGACGGTTCGCCACACGCTGTCACTCGATTAATAGTGTTCGAGTAAAGAGCCTTCACAAAATTTATGTACTTCTGAGGACCACGATTGTCGGACCCCGATAAGCATGTCTGTGTTCTATAACCTGACGAATGGCGAATATGTGGTCGACGCAGCCACAACCAGGTCTGAAGTCAGCCTGATTTTCTCATGTTTGCAGTTCACGAGTCTTTGTTAGGCGTCCGATAATTATTGAAGCTAGTATTTTAGATGCTATATTAGTCAAAGTAATGCTTCTATGGTTGTCACAGGATGATTTTGACCCTCTATTATATATTGGGACAATCAGTAATTGCGACCAGTGATGCGATTACGTCCAACTACCAGATTTCAGCTGAAATTGGACCACATCACCTAAATACCTCTGGAGCCAATCCATCTGGACCAGCTTCTCTTCCTCATTTCAGATTAGCTATAGCCTTTTGAACTTCAGATAGAGTCGGGGGACCTATTTCAATGTTCCATTTACGCTCTCTTGGATTGGTGGGTAGTTGTAGAATTGCTGAAGGCCAGCTGATCTGCTCTTTAAAATGTCGTCTTTTTCCGAGTCTGAAAAGTTCTTTTGTATTACAGCTGCCTTATCCGTTTCTTTTGCTTTCGTTGCACACCAGTATTCACAGTCGTTCCTCAAACTTTTGGTTAACCTAGATTTTATTATTTTACGCTCTTCATCAATAGTACGAGATCCTAGGGTTCTAGACAAGGAGGTCTGCTGGTCGATTTAACAGAGAGTGTGCATGTTGAAGACGCCAATGTGTAGTCTGGAGAGAGGTTTCAGTAGACCTGGGACAGTGCTTTGCGCACTAGAATCGTTGGCTATGGTGACACTTGGGGAGGAAGCCAAAAGAGAAAGTTTAGTGTTGAAAGTCAATGTAGGAAGAATAATAGGAATTGCAGAGGGAAGTTGATTATGAATACAGTGATCTTGAGTGCTGTTGGAGGTATCAAAGCGGTTATTATTCCCCGGTTGCCCACTCCGTGGAAAGGTGCTTCTGGAGGTCTCTGAAAAGGAAATCGGGTTAGGGGTGGTCCTAGTGACCTGAGAGCATGGCCGCAGTGCCCAAGGGACAACTGCTTGACGTCGGTCACACAGGACCTTTTTATGAGTAATTTTTGTGTTAGCTCCGTACTTGTTGAGACCTTACCGCCGGAGACGGATATCCGTGGGATAAGGCGAGGTGTGCATTTTTAGGGTCGACCTTTCCTAACCACACCCCTCCTTGTGGGAAGGCAGCATCGCTGTCATGCTGGTTGTCTGATGGAAACACCTTACTGCTGTCACACCTCTTTACAGTCAGCAGTACGGCTTCGCCTTCGGACCTTGGGTTTGCTGCCTTTGATCTTACCGCCCTTCAACCGACCTGTTTGGCATGGTAGGACCTTGAGGAACGATGTTCCCAGCCAGTATAGCTCGATGGGTTCATCACGATAGGCAAGCCCGACCACCGCGTCAAGGTAGCGACAACGGTCGGGAGCTTAAGTAAGAGTAACAAGGGTTCGAGTCAATGTTCAATAAGCTGCCTTGATTAGTTTAATGATTTCGTCTATGTACATAAATATAATTGTTTACTAGTATGAAGCCTAATCAATACCTAATTTAAAACAATATTGTTCGCTTATATACGTTGTCCTTATTCACAATACGGGAATTTTTAAAGTTTTTCTAAGTGACTCAAATCTCAAGTAATATGTTAGCAGTCACACAAGCCATCAAAGTGATGTAACAAAAACATTTAACCACCAATTTAACATACTAGACCGAATTGAGGGTTTTCTCGTTTTGTATTTTGCCTAGCAGTTTTCACGTCAGTCAAAGCGATCAGCTTGTAGTTGAATTCATCATATTGAAAAGAAGACATTATGCAACAATGAAGTCAGATTGATCGAGTTTGTAGGCGTGTTCATCAAATAACTGAATTTATGTGGAGATTTTCTCTCATACTGATAGATATTGGGAAACGAAGTAAAACAGTGAGTGTAAGGAAATAGTACGGAAAAAGATGACAGAAGTATTGCGATAACTTAGTAACTTAAGAATATAGGGGGAAAAACTATATTAATTATATTGGTTTATCTAGAGAAGTGGCTTTTATACTATATAAAAGAGGGATCGAAACGCGTTAGAGTTCATTCTGCTTTGTCTGAGCGGTTGACAGAAACAATAGGAGTACCACAAGACTCGGTCTTTGGAATTCTCTTTTTCGTACTATCCATTAACGACCTACTTTGTAATCCAGATTCCGAGATTCTGTTATACCAGATGGTCTTGGGATTTAAAAATGAACTGACTGACTGAGAAATGGATGAGATACTTTTGACAACTCAAATTTTCACAAACAGTTGGTTACACGACTGGGTCACCAGAAAGCTACTCTCAATAACTGAAAACGCAGGATGCTAATGGTGAATAACAGTGGTGCACGCAGGTCGTAGTTTCTGGGTGATTTGAGTATTATTTTCATAAGCACAACAACCGATCTGCATATTACTTAATGTAATACCCTAAGTATCTTTTTCTATTACTGTCGTGGGCACAATAAAGCATACTGTCCTGAGGTTTCTTTCGAAAACTTGAATTAGTTGACTCCAAAATTATTCAAAACTGCTTTCAATGTTTACTCAAAACTTTACCTGGGAAAAAACTGCATTATGTCTCCTAAGAAGTATATAGCTCTCTTGAAACATGTAAAATAAAGCAACACACAATGACTCACACTAAAATAATAAATCCTGCTCAGTCCCTTGAAGGCTTTGAATTTTCGCCCTGTGCGGTGCATAAATATTAGGAGAATATCATCAGGATGAATCTTAGTCTTCATAATCCTCTTCACTAAAGTAACATACATTTTGGTGCAAAACTACGCAAACAAGAACATCAATATGTCATATAACACGGACGTTCCGCAAAACTTTGTGCATACTTTCTCGTGGTTTTAATCAGTGAGCTACTGAACCACTTTTGGACGTGATAGTAATGGGGACTTATACCATCTTTTAAAACTAAGCCCGACGACTACTTTAGTTCCGTAGGAGCTCAGATTCAGATTTGTGTAGTAAGGACAGAAGGCCTACGGCCCATGTTATTCCTTTTCTAGTATGCTTTTGTGAGTGCCCAGTCTTCTCTTGAAAGAGTCAATTAAAGGTGCGGACACCACTGCTTCGGGTAGCAGTAGATAAATATCCATGCATTTTCCAACTAAAGCGACATATGTTCTATAACGTTTTGCCTTGCAGGTTTAAACGTTGTAAGCCAAAGACAAGTGTGTAGAACTACCATGTATATCAAAGAACCTGACAAATCGAAAACTTAGATAATATATCTTACAACAAATTCTCCAATTTTTCGAATTTTCCTTGACCCTGTAATTTATTGACGACCTTCGAGCGACTCCAAAGTGACCTTCAGAATGTCCACCTAACTAGGACTAAATGATGATTACAAACTAGTGTTAGGAATTAGAATTATGATTCACAAATGATGGTTAGGAATTGGATTTAGGGTTTACATCGCGAACTGACATCAGCCAAAGTGCCAAAACGCTGTTTAGCCAAACGGATGAATGGATTACTCTTCAAAATCCAAGACCTGTTATCCTAAATCTGATTGTTTCGTCCATAACTTATATTCTTGATTGTATATTAGATGTAACGCAACCCATACTTGAGTGGAAAGGACTGACTTTGATAGCAAGTACCACGTTCAAGGTGATAGTATTTGGAGTCTGACGATACCCTAACCTGTAATCATTATGGCGGTAAATAAATCCCCGAAATAAATAGCTCTGTAAGTTTTCGACATTGGATGCTGACCAGATTAGTTTTAGTGGACTCACCTAGCTGAAGGCTCTCGGTCATGCATCCGCACCAGATCACGAGTGGGAACGCCGTGTTCAGCTGCTACTGCAATCGCCAGCCGGATTAGATCAGATAATTCCGATATATTGGCAATCGTCAAATACAACTTCTGATCTCCTCAATTCTGTCTTTTGATTTCTTTTAGTGGGTACGAGTTATACAAGAAGGTGTTACTGGTAAAAGCGTTGTCAAACACTGAATACTTGTGCCATCATCATCGGTGAGACCGACGTGATCTGGTACACCTAACTGCAACTGTGAGTCTGTTCCTTTTTGGGATTTTTATATATTACTGCCTTATTTTTTATCTTTTATACGTTGTGATATTTTTCCCCGTGTTTCAGGATATCTCTATATTTTTCCTCGTATTCTCGTACTTAATATTCCCCTATGACCGAACAGACTCCTGAGGTATTTAAGATTAAGTCCATGTCCATACCCTCGTTCCAACTCATGCCCTTCTGGCCCGACAATATCGAAGCTTGGTTCTGCTACGCAGAAGCCGACTTTCACGAGCACGGCGAGAACGACACACGTGCACAATTCCTCGCAGTAGTCAAGGCACTACCGCGGGAATTCAACAGGTACGTAACACCTAGTATGTTTACTAGCGATGTTTCTGAACCGTACGAAACGTTAAAGCGTTCTATCCTTAAACGAGGAGGCCTAACCGATTGACAAAGGTTAGACCAACTCTTTAATAACATAGATCTGCAACACGGTTCTGCGACGGACATGTTGCAACTCCAAACCGACCGACTCGAAAAACAACTCGGGAAACTTCCAAGCCGGCACGCGTTAACGGCAACCGTAGCCGACGAACGTAGCCGTCTGTTATACGTCACAGATGTGACAACGAGAGTTCGCCACCTCGTCGACACTGGCGCAGAAGTTAGTGTTCTCCCAGCGAATTCCAACGACCGGCCTCACGAATCGGCTCTAAACTTACAGGAGGCAAACTGAAAACTGATCGCTACGTATGGCAAAAGGTACGTTTGCCTTAACGTGGGTTTACGCAAACCCATTCACTGGATCTTCGTTGTTGCAGATGTTTCCATGCCAATTGGTATGGACCTTCTATAACACCATAATCTGATCATCGATACGCGCAAACGGAGGCTAGTAGACGGAAACACTAATTTATCCGTTTGCGTAACTTTTTCTTCTGGTTTCAGATTATCCCCAGTCACAATTAAGCACACGACAGACCCACTTTATCAACCACTGTTCGATAAGTATCCTGGGATTCATCAAACGCAACCGAAACTACCGTGTGTAACCGGCAACGTTACACATCACATCACCTGTAATCTGTAAAGCTCGACGACTAGCCCCCAGAAAGCTAAGCTCGGCGAAAAACGAGTTACATTACATGATAGACTTGGGAATCATACGACCGTCAAATAGCCCATATGCATCTCCGTTGCACATGGTCCCTAAAAAGGACAGCAACGATTGGCGTCCAACTGGTGACTATCGGCGATTGAACGCGAAAACCATTCCCGATCGTTACCCGTTGCCTCACATTCACGATTTGACAGCTACCTTGAAAGGTACAACTGTCTTTTCGAAAATCGACTTGGATAAAGCGTATAACCAAATCCCTATGGCTACTGACGACATACCGAAAACAGCTATCATAACTCCCTTCGGACTCTATGAATTTTTGCGAATGCCTTTCGGTCTAAGAAATGCTGCTCAAACATTCCAAAGATTCATAGACGACGTTTTTCGAGGTCTCAACTTCGTACATGCGTATGTTGACGACTACCCAATCGCAAGTCCGGACAGAGAATCACATCTCAAGCATCTGGATCTTGTTTTCGAACGACTACGAAAACATGGCATTACTGTAAACGTTCAGAAATGCCAAATCGGGGCCGACTCATTAGACTTCCTAGGACACACTACAGATACTCAAGGCATTCGACCTCTTAGGACCAAATTGGCGACAATTCTGGACTACCCAGAACCGACCACGATCAAGCAACTACGAACATTTAACAGCCTTGTAAGTTTCTGTAGACGATTCATACCTAAATGCGATTTACTCATGCAACCTCTTACCGACCAACTTCGTGGGAATGCGAAATCCATTAATTTGGACGACACCGCACGAAAAGGAACTCATCGTTAAAGCAACAATGCTTGCACATCAGGACACCTGAGCACCCATTAGTATCTCAGTAGACGCATCCAACTCAGCAGTCGGACGAGTTTTACAACAATGGGTTAACAACTCCTGGCAACCATTGGCATTTTTCTCTAGAAGGTCGCTAGACACTGAGTCGAGGTACAAACACTGAACACCTGTGCCATCAAAGTACATCAACCCAGTTAAATCACAAGTCCGAAGTGAAGAGGTTCGGGGATATATTAGACAGGTTATCGACATATCGGGAGGTGATTAATCTAAGCTGTCTAGTGTTGTAGACGTGTAGCACCGCGTACCTACTCGTTATCTGGTGCGGATGCATGATCGAGCGCCTTCAGCTAGATCTTCACTAATAAGGGTAGAAGTTCTATCGACGTATACTGATCCTTGCAGTTTGTAACGCTGTGAAGGTCCAATCTCTCTCTCAATGTATCAACAGAAAGTGCTGATATTGCGTGTTTTGTTAGAGAATTTCAGCAATTCACTACGTTGTGTGAGAAACGCAATTCCAGACGTAGATGATTTGATCTCGGTTTCTGAACACTCTTCGAATGTTCTCTCAGATGACCAGTCCTAGAAGGAGAGAAAAGATAAGACGTTTTTGTACTATAGATACATATACATTTTAACCTAAAAAAACACAACCTCGATGAGAAATTACACGGATTTGTAATAAGCAACTGAAAACGCCTACCTTGAAGGACCTATTATTATGATGAGTATAAAAAATCCAGATAATGTCTAGTTGGAACATATTGCAACTTTGAAGCACGATTAGGTAAGAATCACGCATACAAATAATTTAAGATGAAATAAAATGACTACCAATATGATAAATTAAATGAAGCT